TCTGACTGGTACAGGAGGAGATTGTCACTCCTTCTCCAGCAGAGCATCTGGTGGATTCGAACCACTCACCTCTGGGATTGCAGTGCAGCTTCTTGCCACTAAGCCACCAGAGCTCACCTCACTCCCACTTCGTGACCTTGTTTCTAATTTAAATTTTGACTAGGATAAAAAGTCATTTTCATTTATTAAATATTTTATAACTCAGGATCAAGCACAAGGAACCCAAACTGCATTTTGCCTAACAGTAGACTATGTACACATAAGAGCATACTGTGGCCGAGGGCCAAGGGCCCAGACATAGAGGTTCCTAAAGTACAATGTCAAGTGTCCCAAGTCCTTGCTGATCAATAGAATAGCTTGACTATTGCACTAAAATTCTAGAACAGGATTTTCCTAAAAAATATCCTGTGCTATTTAACATGGAGGCCGACTTATCAATGGGACTATTTTTGTGACTGGCATGGGTGGCAGGTGGCGTAAATGGTTAAGTGCTTGACTTGAAAGTCAGAAGCTCAAGCCCACCTAGAGGCACACCAGAAGAAAGATGACAGTCTGTTTCTGGAAAGTGACTAGGAAAGTGCTATGGGGCACAGCTCTGGTCTGATATTCACCGGGTAATCATGAGTAAGAAACATCTTGGTAGCAATTGGTTTGGTTTAGTGTTCAGTCCTCTGAGAACTTGTTGAGGGTTAGCTATGATTCAGTTCTGACCCGATGGCACACAACAACAAATGACTGAGAAAATACATTCTTTTAAATTAGCTACACATGCCACTAATTGTCAGAAACTGTAGCTTTACAGCAGAAAGCTGTTTTTAAATAACCATCACATAGATAAGACTATTTATGCATATTTTACTCAATCCCTCTCTTGGTATTTCCCTCTAGATCAAAAGTCTTGAGTATAAATTCTGAAAGAAAAGAGATTGCCAATCAAACTACTAAGGCAAGTATTCCACTTTATCTCAGCTACTAGAAGTGCCATTGGCTTGCAAGGGGGAAATCCAAAAGATTATAACTCTTCTCGTGTGCATTTTACTAGAGCAGTGCCATATTCCAAAGCCATCTAACCCTACACAAACAAATAGGATGTGTAGGAAGAAAAAGCTTTCCACTTTAACAGCTATGCAAACAACCTATTCTAAAAAAGAATTAGCCTAAGACTAAGAGACTTTGGATTGGAAGCTAGGAGGAATATTAACTGAAGGTACACTTTCGGGAATAAAGGCAAATGTATGACATACTCTGTGCCTACTTCCCATAATCACAACACCCTTTCCTGATGGCCCCAGATTTTTTAAGCACAGAGCACCAAGCATCTATCTGCCATTGTCTAACTAAGTGTAAACAAAGCAAGTCACTACTTCTTTATGATAGCATTTCCCTGTCTATTTAACATCTGGTGTCACCAACACACATGTAAAGACTCAAAGGAAATAGAATAATTGAAGGTAAAGCACTAGACCCTTTGGCTTACTTTGGTTTATAATCTCAAGGACATAAGGCTAAAGATTTTTGCTAGACTACAATTTTGTCACTTATGGGCTGCCAAGAAAATGAACAGGTATGTCTTGGAGAGGGTGAAATCAAGATTCCTCTTGAAAGCTAGGATTTTGAAGCTCTGTCTTATATACGTTGGTCACCTGGCCAGGAGAAACCAATACTTGGAGAAGGACATCATGCTCAGAAGGGTGGAGATGCTGTGGAGGAGAGGAAGACCCTGGATGAGATGGATTGACACAGTATCTGGGATAATGGGGGTAGGTGTGTCAGAGTCAGTGAGACTGACACAGGATAGAACAGGCCCCAGAGGTGTTGTACATAGAGTCACTATGAGTAGCAGTGACTCTACAGCATATAACAACAACAACAATACTGCCTTTAGGCCCAATGTTGACATGTGCCAGAAATTTTATACCATCAACATAAATGATTATGCTAATCCTAGAAAAGAGAAACTATCTTTAAAATAAATATTGATAAGTGAATATTGCTCTGGTCTCATTTAGATATTCTGAAACTTACTAGGCCTTGGAGAACAAAGTTTCCATTATTCTACTCAGAAAAAATAAAGCTCTGAAATTAACTAGATCCCATGTCATGTGAAGCTCAACATCAAGAAGACAAAAGATTCTCGCCAGTGGGCCAATTGGCAACACTATGACAGATGAAAAAGAGATTGAGTTTGTTAACCATTTCTTTTGGCTTGCTCGATTCCACAATCAACATTCTTGGCACCAGCAGTCAGAAAATTAAGACTAATTGCATTGGGAAAATCTTCTGTCAAGGACCTCTCCAGAGTACTAAGGAGCAATGATGTCAGTCCAGAGACTAAGATGAGCCTGATCCAGGCCATGGTCTTTACAATTACTTACTACACATCAGAGGGACAATGACTAAGGATGACAGAAGAAGGATTGATACCTTTGAGTTGTGGAGCTGGAGAAGAGTAGACTACTATTAGAACAAACAAGTTAGTCCTAAAGAATGTAAAACAAAGTTGCTACTTAGATGCAAGATGCTAGGATTTTGGAGCTCTGTTGGACATATTTTGGCCATATTGCCATGAAAGACCAGACCTTGGAAAAGGGTATCATCCTTTAAGTGTATATGGACAGCACAAGAGAGAAAAGCCCTAGAAGAGATGGAGTGATTCAGTAGCTGGAGTAATGGGGGTAGGTGTGTTGGAGACAGTGAGATTGGCTCAAGATAGGGCAGGCTTCAGAGCTATTGTGCATAGGATCACTATGAGTCACAGGCGACTCAACAGCACATAACAACAACATATCTAGAAGGAGACATGGCATACCTCCAATGTACTTCACTATCTACTACCTGAAGCTAATCAAAGTATTCCTTCTGACCACATATTGGAAGGGTGGGGGTGGAGGGAAATAAAGCCTGAAAGGTGTGCGCCAGGGATGTGTTCTATCTCCATACCTTTTCAACCTGTATGCAGAACAGATTATCTGAGAGGCTGGGTGCTATGAGGAGAAGTGTGGCGTCAGGATTGGTGGAAGATCTATCAACAATCTGCATTATGCAGATGACACAAC